CATATTGTAATCAGTATTTTAATGCTTATGTAATGTTTAAGGATTATATCATTTTTATAAGTTTCTACCATAAAATAGTGACAGTCTCTCTTGTACTTTTAAAGTATGTACAATACATGTTACTTGCATGGGGATAGTCAATTTATTTCCTTTCTCACTGAATAAAAGGTGAAAGTTTTCACCATATTTTTAAAAATCGCAATTGCCACATAGCCGTAACCAGATATGCCCAAAATTTCCACAACACTTAGGAAGCCTGTCCTGTATTTGCCTTCCCAACCTGCCCCAAGTATTATTTTATTGTTTTATGAAACAAATTTGTTTTGAGGAATTTTTGACATCTCTCTAGTTCATATTGTTCTTCTTCCATGTCTGTGCATTGTTAGTAGGTAGGGAATCGAATTCCCTAGGAAGCATATTATCTGAAACTTTCAATCTGTAAATGCCACATGTTTATTTTTTTCTAAATTCCCCCTCATCCTCTTTGTCAATACTTATTTTTAGAAGTCATCATTGCCTTCCAGCTGTCCAAATTTTCTTCTCATTTTTTTCTCTTAAAAACTGACTTAAAGCAGGAGGTCAATATCTGAGCCATCATTAATTTCACGCCTTCCTCTTCTTATTTAGTCTGTAGTCTTTTTTCTCTTGAAGATCACTTTTTTTTTTTCCTTGATACATCTATAAAAGACCTCCTTACTCCATTTAACCTCTTTTACTAGCAATATCTCATTTCCCACTTTTGTGCTCCTTATCTTTTCTTTGCTAACTTTGAGTTGTTCTGTCTATTTTTATATAGTTTCTGCCTTCTCCACTCTCAGGGCAATTGTCCTGTTACACACACATCTTGAGCAGCCACTGGGGATACAGGCTGTATTTTTACTGGACTCCTACAGACAGAGGAGTGTTCTGCCCTGTGTTCTGCCCAGTTCTCTCACTTCAACAGTGCAATGGAGGCTTTTATACTTTAATTATATTGTCTTAGACTACTTCACACCTATCTACAATTATGAATCTTAATACTTACTCCCATTGCATCATCGATTTTAGATTTCCTTCCAATGTGTTTTCCAATGAGGAATAGTGCCTTATAATGTTGTTATCAACGATCATATTTCTAAATAGGCAGTGGAGAGAATGGAAATGATTTACTCTATTAGGGCCAGGTCATTTGCATACTGTTAAGTGATTTGCATGTTGGCAGATCCTAGAACTGTATTTCAGAGACTTTCCCACATTTCTCTCTTAATTACAAGGTGAGGCTATTTTCACTCCCTATAAAATTGTCCTTTATTTTCCTTTCTCATGCCATTCTCTCCCACTGGGGAATAATACACACTACCACAAGCATATCATTGCAAGGTAGTCTCTACCTTCTGGGTTAATGTTCTCTTTGGCATAATTCATCATCCCCTCTGATTTTTCGGGGCTGGTGACAATGGTGACACCCCTAATATCTGAATGATGTCCTTCATAAATATTTTGCTGAGTGATTGATATCTCCCCTAGTTATTTTTCTCACACCTCTTCCCCTCAGCATATAACAGATGGGATTCCATCACCAGAAGCAGATGTTGTGGAAAATGCATCAGGAGCCCAGAAGCCCTCATTCTAGCTGCAGTTCTCCCATTAACTACCTCTGCTGTCTCCAAAAAACACTTAACCTCTCTGGGCTTCCACTTCCATGTCTGTAAGATGAAAACAACTTCTTCATAAGGGTACTAAGGTGATCAAAAAAGATACATACAAAAAATATTTCCTAAGGTAAAATAGTTTGAAATGCAAATTTTTGATACCTCTTTAACAAATCGTGCTAACTTTTCCTAATCAAATTAAATATGAATTATTTCTGTTTCACCCATGTCCCTTATCAGCTTTTCATAATAATAAGCAAACACACACACTTTTAGGAAGGTCAGTTACAATTTGAGAAATTTCTAATGGTGAGTTTCAGACACTAAACAAAAGGATAATTTGAACCACTCCCACCTCAGTCTCAAACCATGTCTCATTAGCAACCACGTTCTCTACGTTTATTTATACGAGTTAGGAGAGACCCTGCAGGGAGAAGCAGGGCTCTTGTTTGATTTTGGACTGGGCTGCATTCACTGAAGTAAGGTGTCAGGTCTGCCTGTGGATCTGGAAAGCATTTTGGAAGTAAGAAGCAGACAAATGTAAATCTTTTAAACCCCTATGATAAGCAAACTCTCCTCAGTTCAACATATAAATATAAACACTAAATCAAATCAGATGCTTATACATTTTTTAATCCTATCATAAAACATTTTGTTTTGACAGCTTGGTAATGTAAAGTAGAAACACCGACAGCCGAAAGAATCAGCATCTTTGCCTGCCTACTACCTGAAAGTCTAGTCTTTCCTGTATATAAATAGAAAAAAAAAAGTATGTTTATGTAAAGGGAAACACTGATTTACTAGAACTGATTGCTTCATAGTCTAATTACTTTTCAACTGGCTGTTCCAAATTAAGATGTCATTGATGGCTTTTGGTGATATATTTCATTTTAAGCAAATTTATTCTATAATAGAGTACATCATAATGGAAAGCAGAGTTCCTACTCTTCCCTCCTCTTTGTAGCCTGATATCTTGACAAGTAAATTAAATTTAGCAGTTAAAATGCTTCCATTAGTAATTTTATTAAGTTAATTAAAGAATCTCTCTTTCTGAATTTTAACTACCTTCCTTTCAGAACAATGTTGATTTCTTTTTTTTTTTCTTTTTTTAATTTCATGTATTTAGGGACCGTGATATATTCTGGGACCAATCAACAACTCTATCAGTATTATACTCTTGTGGCCAAGATGCTACCAAGCAAATTAAGTAAAGAGAAGAAATAGCTCAGAAGTCTTTGAAAGAGAAAGTCTGTTTCATATCATAGAACTAAGGTTCTAAAATCTTGAAAAGAAAGGGAAAGAGGAAGAAGAGGCTGTAGGGAAAAAAGAAAAAGAACAATACACTTTGGAGAATATCTATGTTCTTAGGAAACGGCAGAACTACTAACTAGTGTCTCCATACCTAAAGGGTAAATCATCAGTAGTTCAAGCAGAGTCTAGTTACAGATGGAAAGAGAAGAAATTGATCTCTTTGTCTTATTTAGAATACAAGTATGCAAGTAGTACCAAGCCAGATACTGAAGTGGGCAAAGCACATGTTAAATGAAATGTTGGGCCCTCTCTAGGGAATGGCATTTCAAAATAACCCGAATATTTGTAAGAGACTGGGGTGAAAAAGAGTTGTTTCATGGCCCATTGCCTATTTTTTGTGTAAGGTGTTCCTAAACTCAGGAGCTATAGAAATTATTTTTAGAGCTGGACAAGAGCATAGGAGAAATTTTATCTCATCCTCTAATTTTAAAGAAGAGCCAGGGATTAACAGTGCCACCACTACCAATAATAATAATAGCAATTATAATAATAGCAATGTTATAATTGCTATTATTTATTGAACTCACTACTATGAAGCTTCACATATGTTTTTTCATTAAAAAGTTCATGAGGGAAATTATTCTAATGTCCCAACTTTATAGCTACAGAAAACAATGACTAAAGGAGGTTAAATAACTTGTGCAAAATCTGTCACTCCCTAATTCCGTGTTTATAACTACTGCATATCATTAGCTTAGATGAATGACCTCGGTCATGGAATGAGTTAGTGGTTCCTAACTTTAGTGACTAAAGCACAGGACAGCTGCTCCTTAGATCTGCACTTTATAAACTAGGCCATATGAAAAGAATTGGAAAACCAGTGGTCAAGCAGAGGTTTGGGCATTGAGAGGATGCTATAATTTCTTTTTTAAAAAATCCCATTGCCAGAGTACCCAGTGAGAGATTTGCTTTGTGGGTGAAACCTTATCAAAGGCTGCACCCATGTGTTCAGACCTGAACTGACATTTCATTTAAAATTGGGGAATTCTATCCTTTACTCATTCATTGAAGAATAAAGGAGAGCCAAGAATTACATTCCATGGCAATTACTATTAATACCTCTCATCTTCTCTCATTTTCAAATACCATTTCTCTCTGAATAGCTCACTCTGTGAATTCGCATGCTCGCTGTGCAATCTCCATCATCTCTCCCAAAATCACTCCCCCCATCTCCCAGAATTCTCATGCCATATCCTCACTCACTCACTGGAGTCTCCCCACATTCACACCTCAGGTATTCCCACCACCACCCTCCTTCTGTCTTTTTGCTCTGGGGGACTGAATGCCTTTCTTTGCTGTATTCCAGGCTCACTGCTTTCCTTGGGAGAATAGTTCACCGTGGCTTTGTCCCTTCTATCCTTTCCCCATTCTTTAGATTCTGTTTCACAAAAGCCCCAGGAATGAATCTGGCAACTCATAGACCCTTCCAGGTAGAACAGAAGAGATGAAGCCAGAAAATTAATAGGCCAGGAGAAAGAAGCGACTGAGACCACTGCATGTGTAAACATACATACTGTGTGTGTGCATGTGTGTGTATGTATGTGTGTATTTCCCTCTTTTCACACTGGGAAAAGCTAAAATGGCAGGTACCTACCCTTGATGCCCTCTGTATATTCTGGGGAGCCCAACTCATTTTGTTTATTTTTCTCCAACATCAAGATAAATAGGGTTTAAGAGCTTTATTGCCTTTTGCCCCTATTTGATCCCTTGTCAACTGGAAATAGGTTTTCAAGATGGTTCACCAAAATTTCTGAAGCATAAGAAATTGTCAACTGTCCCCATGGATGTTTCCGTGGAGACTGTTTCCTTTATTAAGCAAGCCTGCTCCTCCAAAATGATGCTTTTAGAACAAATCCAGTAATTTGTAATATTTCTAAAATTAATAGCTGGACAGATAGACTGAGGGACTGAAGAGCCTGGGTCATCTGGTATTTTTGCTGATTGGAAAAGATCCTCCAACCTCTGACCCTTACCTGAGAAGGAATGCTACCTTTAGCCTAGAAGAATATTTTTAATATATCTGACCATAAATCAAAGATGTTTTCATTCAATATTTACCTCTTACTTCCTTGATATCCTGCCATTCACACTGCAGTTACTCTTTGGTGAAGATCTCTTTCAATTACTTTAAGGAGCTTTTTTTTTTTTTTTTTTTTTTTTTTTAATGCAGCATTCAAGTCCAGTAGTGAAATCTGTTTCATATTTGTAATCGGTTTTCAGCTCCTGGAAGAAGCCCAAATTGGTAAGTCCCTGTAAGTGAAAAAGGAAAAAGAAAACAGAATGTAGTTATGCAACCTGAGTTTATAGAAGAGGAGAGAAGAGAACTCAAAGAAGGACTGGCAAAAATAAACATGATGTCCTCTTCTTCCACCCCAGACATTCTGGCCCAGACTTCAACCTGGATAGTGATCAATTAAATGTATAGAACCACAAAAGAGCCATCTGGATTGTGAAATCATGTGGCAAAGTCCCTATTATTTGTCACATAAAAGGAAGAATGTGTGATTTTAAAATAAAATACCAAAGAAAGATGCCCTGAGTTTGATGCAGGAGTAGATGTAGCCGGCCACAGTTGTGAAAGATTCGATAAGCTTCTTCTTACTTGTCCTTCACCCTGGAGGCTTCTGAAGAGGCCTGAATATCTGGCTTAAAGTGAGTGATGCTACTTGAAATGAAAAGCAAGCAGATTGCAAATCACTCTTCTCACAGGCTTGGAATAAGCTATGGCACGGCTGATGGACACATTCAGGTATTTAAGTGAGTGTGATTTCCAAGCAACAAATTCTAAACCCTACACTGTCGTTGACCTCCATCGCGCGATTGGACATGTTTATGAAGGCACACGAGGTAGAATGAAAAGCACTGAAAAGAATGCTGAAGTCATTTTTCAATAGCACAGCAGTATTACTGTAAAATGAAGCCACATTACCCCAATCAGCAATGGAGTCCAGCCTCACATCCTTCTTCTGCTTAATGGTCTGGGTCTATTCTAGCAGAGGACATTTTTGTTTCAGGAACCCAACTATGGGTTTGGGTGAAAGAAACCAAATGAAGTGGGTAATACAAGATGTGTGCTCAGGTAAGGTCAAGACCCAGGAAAGGAACTGAATAAATGGTATACGACTATGCTTTTGTCTTTTCCATTTCTTCCTCTCTTTCTTTACATTTTAAAAGCATAGATTTCAGGAAGACGAAACTACCACAAACCATTTTTTTTTCTCTGTGATCTGACTGGTCCTAAAGCAAAAGTGAAGCACCCAAGTAGCCATCTTTTAAACCAAACATATCTAAGTGTACATTGAAATATATGGTCTACAATTGTCTGTTCAGTTGAATTGAAATCCTCAATTGCACACTGATGCCACACAGGTCTGCTCAGATTTCCTGCTTCTTAACTAAGACCCAAGATATTTACTTCTGCAAAAATTAAAAGCAGAAATTTTTGATGTCTAGCAAGCACTCTTAAAACGTTTATTGTAAATCAAATCAAGTACTTACATTGAACCTCTTCTTGAACCTTTTTAGTGAGAGAAATAAAACACTACTAATAACTCAAAGACTATTTTTCATGACCACTAAAACAATTGCTGTCTCTGATCCAGCCCACCTTTTCTCTATTGCCCATCAGAATTTTTTCTAAGGACTCTACTTCATCTGTTTCTGAGGTTATATTCTGTGATATACTGCATATATATAGGTGTGTGTGTGTGTGTATGTGTGTGTGTGTGTGTGTGTGTGTGTGTATGCAATTCTATTTAGTTCAGTCGAGACTATTTCCATTTGAACCATTGGTGAAAAAACAGTGTTGATAATAGCCCTTAGTTAGAGCACAGGGATCTATAGCTGTAGCCATTCCTACTTCTGGCAACCTAGTGGTGAAAATTTTCACATTCCACTTAACTGGATAGTGACTTATGTACATATCTACTAGACTATAAGATACTCCAAGGCAGAGAGATCATCTTATTCATCTTTAAATCACTAGAGCATCTGCCACAATATTTGGTATATTGGTCTTAAATGGTAAAAGTAATAGAATGAATGGATAAATGAATGAATGAAGCAGGGAATTAATATTTAAATACAGACACTGATTATTTGTACTATAGTCACACTATACTGAGAACTGTCTGGAAGAGTTTTCAGAGAGCGACAGAGAAAACTTGGCTGACTATTCTTGGAGAATACGTTGACTGTTTGTTGGATGAAGACAGTTCACCAAGAAAGCAGATTTTGACCCTTCAAGAACTTGAATGTGATGATGAGTTTATGACAGTTCTAAAAGCCAACATACGGTCGGTGGCCAGATTGTGGTTCTGGACTCAGAGGCTTCCATTTGGAAGGCAGACGAGCATTTGAATTATGGGTCTAATGAAAGTGTCAATAGCAATCCTGTTACTGGAGGAGCTGTAAAACCCTGCTTAATGAACTAGGCAGGGACACAAAAACACAATGGTCTAAAATGTACTGTATGAGAAAATGATAATTAGCCCAGATTTCATGTACAAGATAAAATGCATAGGGATGATATTACCACTGAGCAATATTATAGCCCTTCAGGGGACTGTTTTGTTAACAGGGTTTGGCTCAGCCTTTTCTATCCTCCATGTACTAAAGGAGATGCACTGCACAATCGTGAGCTGTGCGTTAGAGAAAGAATGTCAGATGGTAAAATTCCTATCATAGATGCTGACAAACATATAAAATTAAAGACAATAAAAGGGTTCTGGCCTCAGTAAGGGTTCGCTCTTATTTTGGAGGCTTTATGCAATATAGGATGATAAACTGAATGGCTTCCCACCCAAGAGGCATAGGGGTTAAAGAAAAGGTATTCTCTAATCTTGTAGTCTTCTTTCCTAGACCACCAAACATCAACTAAGAAAGTAAGGCAAGACAAGTCCAGACCTACAGTAAGCAACAGGGCAACAGATGCTTGTGTCCACCCTGAGCTGGGAATCTACCGAGCTGGCCCTGAGCACAGAAGAGAACAGTAACCCCAGAGTCAGGAGGCTGAGATGCTAAACTTAGCTCTGCACTAACTCTGAGTTCGAATGTTCTCTTCTCTTAAAAGGAGGACAGAGGTGGATTAAAGCGGTGCTTCAAAAACTTTAAAATCACCTGGGAATTCTGTCAAGATACAGAACTTGATTAAGTTGGTCTAGGGTGGGCCTGAGATTTTGCATTCCACACAAGCTCCCGAATTATGCTGATGCTGTGGACTCATGGACCACAATTTGAGGAACAAGTGACTCAACAGTATCTCTCAACTTGAAAATTCTATGAAACTACCAAATTCAATAATAATCTGTTGGCTATCTGTTACTACAAGTGGGAAGAGATGGAAAATTACTGAATTTTTGATATCATCGAGGCAAACTCATTTTGCCTTTGTTCTTGTCTTTTAAGTCTAAATAAGCTATTTTATCCTAGTTGGAAAACTATGAATGCTCTGGACTCTACAAAGATGAATTAGTCAAAAATATTTGGCAGCAGACTGTTAATACTGCTAGACTAGCTAAAATATTGTTTTTGAATCAATGTTTTTTATGACTAAATGGATTGCATGCAGAAAAATAAAATGGAGGAAACTAGAAACTATGAGTTTAAGTGGTGAATCCACATCTAATAAAATAAAGGCAAAGGGGGTCAAATGACATAAAGTAAGGCATAATCACTTGTGTACAAAAATAAGTTAATGTAAGTATAATAGCCATAGAATGACATGAGTTGAGTGTGGCTCATATCTTGCACAAACGGCATCCTAGTTGTTGAGCCTGTTAAAAACTACCTTGAATGCTATAATCCACTGGGTTCTCTCCATAGATACTTTCTTCGTCCCACCCAAGGTTAATTTTTAAAATGACATGTGTATATATGGGGGGTGGAGTTCTATATGAATCCACGGCATAAAATAAAGTTTCACAAATCTGCAGACAGGGATTATAGAAGTTAAAAGACATTTTCTTGATTGTATCAAGCATAATTTCTGACACACAGTAGGAGCTCAGTTGAGATCTGTTAGATGAATCAAAAGCAACGAACTTTTGACTAAGCTGCAAGACTGACACTGAGTGCAAGTTCACAGAATCTTCAATAGTTTAAGGGACAATAAGTTTGGGGGACAAAAATTTGGGACATATGTCCCTGGTTACTAAAAAGACAGAGAGAGTGCCTTCTCTTCCTCCTCTCCTTAAAGAGAAAGCTTTGCCTAGAAAAGAATCAGTAAATTAATCTTGGAACAAGAATTTAACGAGCTCATACAGTGTGCTTTATGCTTCATACAAGCCGCCTCTTTTACCCCTTCAGAAACTCTGTGAAGTAATTATTATTATCATCCCCAGGTGCCCTGGGGCCACAACTAGTAAATGGCAGTACTAGGATTTCATCCTAGTTCATCTGACTTAGAAATCAGCACTCTTAATATAGCTTGTACTGTAGTCAGGGAAAAGAAGGGACAAGATATTTTTATTAATAAAAAGAAGGGAAAAAGGATATATTTTTTAAAGTGCTAAATTATGTAGACTATAAATTGTAAAGAAATTAAGAGAAGAAGGAACTCACTCTGGACTTGGGTCAAGGTTGGTTTCATGAAAAAGGGATGGAAGTGGGCCCAGAGTTCATACATTCACAACACAGGACCCACGTGGGAAGAAATTTGAACGACAGACAGATGAGGTGAGACAATGAGGGGTCTTGAAGGATGAAAGTGATAGTGTTTGATTTTGACAGTAAAAGGGTCAGAAAGACTTTGTAATGTGGACCAGGAGAAAGCAACATATGAGAAACTGTTTTTCATTTCCAGCATATATCGGGCACCCAAAATACATGCTGCCAATGGGGTGGGGAAAATGGAGCATGTGTTGCTAAAATAACCTAAAGGCGAATCCTGAATAAGCTGAAACCTTCAGCCAGACAAAAGCCTATTTGTAAATTACTCCACTTAATTTTTCAGGTCCTGATTGCCTCTCTCTGCAAAGCAGTTTATGACATTCTCAATTAAGAGTTTGCTATAAAAATGAATGAATGAAGTATTTCAAAACTGCTATGAGATATTAAAGATGAGTCACTTTTAAAAAGTGGTTTTGCTTCCTGTGTTCTGGATAATGCATCTGAGAATGTAGTTTCCAGCCTCACCCATCACCCCATTGTGAAATCAAATTGAATGACTCTCTGCTCTTAGAATGATCACTCATTCAAATGTATTCAATAAATAAAGCCCAAACACAATGAGGCACTTTTCCTAGAGCATC